TCCCCCCTCCCGGCCCTCCTCCCTCCCCCCCTCCCCCCGGGTCCTCCTCCCTCCCTCCCTCCCTCCCCCCCCCCCCCCCCTCCCCTCCTCCTCCTCCTCACCCGCAACATCCCACGAGGTTTCGCAATGGCATCAAACTCATCGAAGATGATGAGATGCAGGGCCGACTTGTCGCCCAACTCCTGCCACTCGTTCTCTGCCTGACCCAACATGTCAGCCGTCCCTGCCTCCTGCCTCCTGCCTCCTGCCTCCTGCCTCCTGCCTCCTGCCTCCTGCCTCCTTCCTCCTGCCTCCTCTTGCTCCTGCTCCTCCTCCCTATCTCCCTTCTCCCTCCCCACCCTCCATGCTCCTCCCCTCACCTCATAGAAGAGCGACCGGATGTTCCTCTCTGCCTCCCCCACCCACTTGTCTAGCACCTCGGGCCCGTTGACGATCTTAGGCGGGCGAGCTTTCAGCAGCTTCCCGATCTCCCGCGCTATCAGCGTCTTCCCGCACCCTGGAGGGCCGTAGAGCAGCATCCCCTTCACGTGGCTGACCCCCAACCTTCTCATCGCCTCCCTCGGTAGCCTCCTCGTCGCAAACGCCCTCCTCACGATCGCCTCAAGCTCCTCCTCCAGCCCTCCGATCCTCGTCCTTAGCCCCTCCAGGTCCACCGATGAGATGTCTCTCGACGACTCTCCCTCCTCCTCCTCCTCCTCTGCTCCAACCTCTCCTCTCCCTCCTCTCATCTCCTCATACCCGGGGAACCCTGGAGCAGTCAGGAGACTCTCCATGTGCCGCCGGTCGAGGAGGAGGGAGGAGGGTAGAGGCCCGTAGCTCTCCTCCTCCACGAACCCGTGCATGCCTGTGATCTTGAGCGCTGGGATCAGCGCTACCTCTAGCACGCAGCATGACTTCTCCAGAGTTGCTTCCCCGTAAATCCGGCAGGGTCCTCCGAGGTATAAGGACACTTCCTCTTCCGATACCGCCGTCCTCACCGCCTCCCGCATCGGCGCGCGTCCTCGAGGGTTTCCGAGCATCTGCCGCACGTCGCAGCGACCGAAGAGCGTCTTGAGCAGGACGACGGTGCCGGTCGGGTACTCAAAGGGAGGGAGAGACTGACCGGGAGGAAGGAACAGCAGCTTTACCTCCGCCCCCTCCGTCTCCTCCACCGTCACCTCTAGTGCCGTTGGCGACTGGTTGATCCAAGACCAGGAGGGAGCGTAGGGGATCGCCGCCTTCATCGCCGCCTTCAGCTCTTCCATCGCTTCCTCGTTCTTCAGCACCCACGTCCCGTCCCTGTCCCTCGCTCCCACGCTGTCCTCCCGGGCTGACGCCCAGCCCATGGCGCTCGTCTTGTTCGCGAGCTCCACAATGTGCAGGAGTTTCCAAGGCCTCGGCTTGCTCTGCTGCCCGGGCTCAAGGGAGGACTCGAAGACCGAGGACGAGGGGGTTTGGCGAAGAACATGGAGGGAGGAAGAGGAAGAGGAAGAGGAAGAGGAAGAGAAGCTGGTGGTTGCGCGATGAGACGCTAGGTCGATCCCAGGGCGTGAGGCCAGCGACGGAGGGAAAGAGCTGAAACCGAAGGCGGAAGGGAAAACGAGGAGGATAGAGAGGAGATGAACGAGGTACTTCCCCATGACAGCCCTCCCGCTCTTCTTTCTGTTAATACAAATTCAGCATCCAGCGGCTCCTCCTCTTCTTCAATCCGATCAGCTCTGCCCTGCTGCTTTCGCTTGTTCACTTCCCATTCCCTATCAGTCTCTCCTTCCATCCCTGCTCCATCCTCTTCCTAATTTGACCGTACAGGATTTCCCATCCTCATCGCACCACCACCACCACCTCCTCCTGACCCCCTCCGCGCCTCCTCCTCCTCCTCGTCGTCCTCGTCCTCGTCCTCGTCGTCCTCCTCTTCCTCTTCCTCTTCCTCTTCCTCGTCCTCGTCCTCGTCCTCGTCCTCCTCTCTACTCTCTCCTCGTCCTCGTCCTTTTCCTCCTCGTCCTCCTCCTCTCCCACTCCCCGATCCTGCACCCCTGCCATGAAATTCCTTTTATGTATATCTATGGCCCCCATCCCCACTCATCCCCATCACTTTGCGCACAACTGATGCCGGGCAGTACTCAGCCGGCCGGACAGACTCCAGCTGACGGCGAGGTGGCGACAAGGAGAGTAAAATGGTGGTAGCAGGAGCAGGAGCAGGAGCAGGAGCAGGGGCAGGGGCAGGGGCAGGGGCAGGGGCA